GACCGCACCTACCTGCTGGTGCTGCCATGGAAACGGGACACACATGATGCCCGTGAAGCTCTCCAGGCAGGGCCAAACCCTCCTTTCGAAAGAAGCAGGAGCGGGACCAGCAGGTGGCGTGGTGGTTAAGGAACTGGACTCCCACGTGGCTGAGCATGGTTTGAGTCCTGGATCTGGCAGCTTTCTCTCTCTCCCTCTCTCTCTGTGTGTCTCTCTCGTGCACAAGCCCTGTAGCAAACTAAAATAATAATAATAATAATGATAAAATAAATAATAGTTCTTTTAAAAAACGGAAATAAGAGACAGAAAGACTGCAGAAACGTACTTTAATTCACATTTTCTAGAGTCTGGTGGGTACAACGGCAAATTATCTGGAATTCTGTTCAAAATTGAAGCTGCACTTATTGATGTTACTTAAAATAAAAGCACAGAGAGACTTGTGTGTTTTTACCGGATACCTTCCACGGTACCATGCACCTGTGTATTTTGGTGACTAGCTATGGCTCTGCAGGTGCTTCAGTTTCGAGCTGCTGAGAAGTCTACTGTGAGCTGTTCCCAAATGTCCAGCTGAAGGCAATGCTGCAGGTGAAGATCAGCATGGCTGTCCCTTGTTATGTACAGTGGCACCTAGGCAGAGTTGGAGACATGGCACAGAGGTTCACATACAGACACCGGCGACAGGCAGGAGCAGCGCTCAGGTTCAACGTCAGAGCGCTGGGACCGCCTAGAGCTGTTCTCGCCAGTGCACCTCATCTCAGGGCACGTCACCTGCCCTAACAGGCTGTTTGTCTAACACCTACGGATGCCACTGAGAACCCATGCCGCAGAACAAAGGCACGTTTTGATTTTCTCCATCTGCCGTGTCACCAGCTAGTACGATCGTGTCTGTCACGTTATCTAGTGCGGGACACTTACGGTACATGACGGGGGAGACAGATGCCCAGAGGTGTCCCTGCACGCACTTCCACAAGGCAGAGAGAACTCTAGCGCTCCTCCCCATCAAAGCAGCGAGGGCTGGAAAGGCAGTTTGTGTCACAAAGACCACGAACTGTCACCAGGCTCTCGAAACAGACTCCTCGTCTACGCAGTCATCTAAGAAACACACGCACACACGTGCACACGCAAGGCCCCCCAGTCTAATTTATGGTAAGGTGAAGTTGATCCAATTTCAGCTCAAGAATACTTCATTTGTTTATTTTCTTAGAAGTGAAAAAATTAATTAAAACCTGGAGTCAGGGGCCAGCAGGTGGCGTGGTGGTAAAGGTGCTGGACTCCCACACGGCCGACGGCGGTTCAAGTCCAGACCCGGTGACCTGAAAACCGTGCCGGGCACAGTGCATGTGTGCCCAGAATCCTAGGGGGAGTGGAGGAGGGGCTGCAGTGTGGCCCTCCCTCCTGGAGGGTGACTTCTCACTTTCCCTCTCTCTTGAGCGCCTACGCCCTATGGCAAAAAGCTAAAAAACAAAAGAGCAGATAAAAGGAAATACAATTATTTTTAAAAGTTAAAGAAAAACCTGGAGTGAAATGTTTCGCCATAACTAGACCTACCTTTCGTCTCCTACATCATGCTCTAAAGGAAGGAGCAATGAATCGAGTGGCCAAGGGTTTTTCTTCAGTAAACAGCTTAAACAGAGTCTTGACCTAACAGAGGAACGCTGAAGTAACCCTACCAAAACATTCTGAAAATACAGAAGTGCAGAATGTTCACATTTTCTTAAACGCCGAACGAACACTAGGAGCCATGGCTACTGGTTTACTAGCGAGACTCTCAGACAGCTTGCCTTAGGCCCCCAACTCGACCATTCAGTACCCTGAAAAGAAGACAGCAAAGGAGCGAGAGCGCCCAGCCCAGCCGGCCTGTGTTCAACCTAACAAAACCACCGCACCCCACGCTCACAGAGGTTAGAAACTAGGTGAGAAAATAAAGCCCAGCGAGACCTCGCTCCCCAGCCACGTCTAAGAGATGGATAGATATTTTTAAAAGGGGTGAGTGAGCCAGCTAAACATGATTTAAAATACACCACTGAATCATCAACGAACACATTTCAGACTTTGGCAGTCTAAGATATGGTTTAAGAGCACTTATACACTGACTCAGAAGAGACTGGACAGACTCCATCCTGTACCGTATTACTCCTACACAGAGGGCACCTTCCAAACCAATCACATTGTATCTACCGGTCCTTTGAAGACAGTCAAGATTTCTAATATTGTTTAAAGATTTTAAGTTTTAGAAGATGACAGCTTTAGGCTTGGTCATCTTTTGGTTGGAGCTATAAAGTCCCACTTACGAACAGCAAAGTGTACCGAAAAGAAGGGGGGTAGCGGAGGGGGCAGGGCCTCCCTCACCTGGTGAACGCCCTGCTGGAGAAAGTCACCGTGAGAGCCAGACCCCGCACAGGTTCGTGTCCTTTAGGAAGACGTACTTACAGATAGCAAATGTTGCGAATGTAACACCTGTAACCACTGCTGCAAGTGCATAGAACCCTGTTCGCTTTTTATCAAGAAGGATTCTGTTAAGTATTTATGTAAGTTTTTCCCTTAAAGTAACTGAAAATTTCCCAAATTAGAGTAGAGTCAAAGCAATGCCATGTGAAGAGAGGGTGGTGGTAGGTTCCGAGTAAAGAGACGCCCTCGAGCCAGGCCAGGCTGGGGGCTGGCGGCCGGGACAGCCCCATCCACCTTCGGCAGAGCAGGTCGTCAGACGGGAGCGCGACAGCATCTGAACAGCCTCGAAAATCCTGAGAACCAGCAACACGAACGTTCAAGTCCTGGGGTCTCTAAGGAACCTGTGTGACAGTCACCGAGAGGGGCCTTCGGCACGCTGACAGGCTAGGATGTGCAGATCACGGAAACGCCTGGTCCCTGACACCGGCTGCAAGCCACACTTGTTCCCTACTTCTCCTTTCGCTAAAAGCTGGACCGTGTCACTGGGATGAAATCCTGTAACTCTGACCACGGGAAATAAAGGGGTAGCAACAACCGATTCTAAACAAACAGAATGGCAGAGTATTCCACAGGCGGAGACACACAAAATTAAACAATTAGTATAACTTACATTTTTTTAAAAAGTAGATACTTTATAAATATCTCTAATTGGTAATCTATTAAGAATCATAAATATTCAAGTGAGCATTTGAATTTTCTTTTAAGAGTTCAGAATTCTTGAAGTCCTAGAAGATCAGTTTCTGCTGAATGTCCAAGACTAAAAAGGTGTCCCCGTCATGTTATGTCCCAGTTCGACATGTAAGAGCCTTCATTACCTACTGTGTTGTAGTAAGACTTTAAAGTTCTGTAGCTCTCTTATACTGGTAGACAGCCTAGAGGAGGAGAAACCGTGGGTTAGTGCAGAGAAGACTTGCGTTTCCAACGACCAACCTAGTTACACGGGCTGAACTCTGAAAGCAAGCGTGAAGTAACCGCGGCGCAGCAGTGAACACAGGAGCTGCTGTCTCCAGGTGGACATGCCGCTATCCACACCGACTGGCAGAACGTGGGCACTCCGGCTCTCTGGTCTTGGTTTAGAAGGAGCAGAGAGAGCCCAGGCTTCCACCCTCCACAGACACTGGATCGCTGATGGGAAGCGCGACGTGGCTGGTTCACAGTAAGGACTCCCGAGGGCCAGCCCCATAGCACAGTGGTTACAAGCTGTGCACGGGAACCCAGACTCCACACAGCCAACTGTGGTTCGAATCCTGGCCCTGACACCTTGGAAAACTCGCAGGGCACATGTGCACGCATGCTGAACCCTGACGACACGGAGAAATGAAAAGGCCTGTGGCACAAAGAGGCCCCACTGAGGGTGCGTTCTCTCGGGCACACACACCCTGCAATTAAAATGAAAGACACTGTCCTCATCTTGCTTGGTCTTCTAAGTCCAGTTAGCCCCTTCCAAATACCCAAAAAAAACAACCGCGTGAGCTCGACTACCGTTGGTACAACACAGGCTTGACACAGAAGCTGGCGCTCGGGAGCTGGAACGCGCAGCGCGAGCCCCTCCCTGCGCTGCCCACCTGAAAACGAGCAGTCCCGTCCACCCAGTGTGGCCTGCCCGCATCCGAGCCCAATGCGGGGCAGGTCAGCTCACTGTGACCTCACGGCTGAGGAAGACGGGCTCAGACGCAGCCGTCTGGCCAGGGTCACCCAGTGTAGCAGACGAGTCCTAACCGAGAAAGTGAGGTCACCCGCATTTACGGAGGATGGCTGCGAGCTCCGGGACAGCGCCTGCGCTCCAGGGCTGCCCAGGGCAGGGAAGGCTTCCAGGACGCAGACCCTTACTCAGGGCTGGCGCTAGAGAGCAGTAAAAGCGAACAGGCTCTGCACAGAGAACCTCAGCTAAAAAGCAGCATTTGTGGGCTACAATCTGGGGCAGCTCCAGGGAATTTTGATGAAATTAATTTTTTTCTTTTCTCAATTTGATTCTTTTAGACTTAAAATGTCTAAATCTCAAAAATCTTTTTCATTTCATTTTAAATAATTAAAGCTTCTTTCCTTTTCTCCTGATCCTACACACCCAGTAAGTAGCTAGACTGAATTTTTCAGAAAATACAATTAACAATGGACATTTTATGTCTAGTACGAGTTTGAATTGCAACCTAGATATTTATCTTTTCATCTTTAAATGCCAGAGACCAATGGCTGAAATCTTTGCTACTCAGAAAAGAAAAATGACTCTTAGCTTCAGAAAAAAAAAAAAAGAAGACAAAGGTTTGATCTCTTTTTAACACCTTTTTTTTTTACCTGCCAGAGGGCACACATGCTCACACACTCAAAGCACTTCTCAAGCCCAGCAGCTGGCCACAGGACCCAACCCCCAGTGACCGCCTAGCGGCCGGCCCTCCCCACCTTTCCGACCAAGCTTTAGCTCTCCTCTTCCTCCTACCGTGTCGGTCTGGTTTCTTGTTTTTGTTTGTTTATTTTGTTTTTCATATTGAGAGAGCAGTGCACTTGCCAGAGAGAGAAAGAACCCCCCAGTGGGCACTGGGGTGTGGTCACGCCACAATCTCTTCCCGCCATTTCTCCTCCCCATCGGGGTTTTGGGAACACACATGTGCCTGGCTTTTTTTTTTTTTAAGCCACTGGGGCCAGGGGGCCAGGGCTTACCCATAGCACAATGGGGCTGGCCACTCCTGATACTACTGTACTTAGGTTATAGCCGCTGAAAAAGAGTATTAGGAGAAGGTTTTCTCTACAACTGAAGAGGCAAGCTAAGAAATACTAGCAACTCAAAATGACGAGTGGTGGGAAAGCCACGACGTGTTTCTATGTAAAGATATGTCATGACTCTCCAGTGGCCCAGTATTAACGTTCCCTATGACCTGAGAAAACTGATCGGTCAGCACTAAGGCCGCTCCAAGTGAAGGAGAGGCAGGTACGAGAAAATAATTTTATCTTCTGTCTAGTCAACAAGCCAAACTAAGTCAGCGCTACATCAGCAGAGATGGTCTTTGAAGTTTGCTGAAACCCAAAGTAGAGACCCGTCTTCTCGGGGAGAATGGATCTTACCTTCCAAAAGCATTTAAGAGGGCAACTATCTCCTGCCGCGTGAGCTGGAAGCCTTTAGAAGGGCTGTTCTCAGGGAGCTTCTGGATTTCCTTTTCAGAGAACAGAATCTTCAGGGCAGTTCCTAAACCCTGAGTCTAAAGAAATACCGGTAAGATCACGAGTTTATGTGGTAACAACCTCTGTAAAGAGTTAAAGAAACACTTAGCCAGCTCAGTCAGGGAATTCCCATGACTGAGCTTTTCAACAAAACGTGAAACTGCAGAGGCCCCTTTGGCCCTCCTCCCAGGCTGCTGGGTGAGGACTGGCCTCCGCTGTTCAGGACACCTGCGCGGTTGGCGTCCGGACACCGCACTGCTCCAGAGTACGGGCACACCGTTAGCCTCGGAGTTCCCACATGAAGATTTAGGTTTGATTTCCGAACTTGAAAGCATTTTTATGGCTCCTAACAACTCGAAATTCAGACATCAGTACAGTTATAACTACGCCTAATAATTTCTCAGCAGCAGCACTAGGGAAGAAGAAAAACCGGATGTCAGGGAGCTTCTGTTGAACACTGCCGGCTGTAAGCAGGAAGAGACTGCGAATACTAAGCAGCCCTTTCAGTGCCGAGTACACGGGGATGGGACTGCCCGCCAGGTTCCTATTTTGTATGTAGGTGGTTTCTTTTCATTATTGAAACAAATTCAAAATCCAACACCTAATAATTGAGTCTTTTAATATTTTCACCAATAATATGTCTATAAAATGCTCTCTTAATAATCACCACCCTGAGAAATGAGTCTGAGATTGGGCCAGTAGAGACGCAGATGCGATAAAGCTACAATCACCACAGAACATGGAGCCTGTCCACACACGGCACACGCGGCATTATTATTACAGAAAACCTACACTTTGGATCACCTACTTTTAAACTCTGAGTCAATGAACGAGAATATTCAAACAAATTTTAAGCTCTTTGGTGGCAAAATGGAAGGTTAATAACAGTTTCAAAAGAGAAGATGATACACACCTGCAATTTCCCCCACAATCTGCATTTGTCACATCCAACACAGTCCATTATACGGGAGATATTCTTGAAATGCAAACGGAACTCCTCCTAGCGTGCAGAAAATATTTTCAGTCAAATTAGACTTTTTAAATTAAACTGTATTTGGCTGACCTAGACAAAAGTTTTTAAGTTTATTAATGAATGAATTGCTTTTCAGAAATGAATATAAAAAAGTTGAATTTTCATAGTACGGACATTAAGGAAGGCTATGTAATTCCTTCCGCATATTAATCCAACAAACTTTCTATTGAGGGGCTGCCTTCGGCAAAACACCAGACTACAGGGAACACAGGTAAGTGACAAGTGGCCTTGACTTCGAAGGGACTCTGCTCTGATGGCGAAAGCATACACTAGAACTCGCGTGTGTCAGTCCAGCTAGACCCAGCTCTGATGACCCGCTCTGTGGGCAATGCTGAAGAACCCCCCCAGGAGCTGCTGCACAGACGCGCTCCCTGTCAGGCCTGCCGCGGTGCCGCCCTCAGCCGCGTCCACACCAGAGCACCCGCGTCTGCCCGCATGAGCGCTTGCTGGCCTCAGCCCCCACGAGCAGCGCTGCTGTGGCCGGCCTCCTTCCCATAGGACCTGGTGGCCTTTTGGGCAAGCTGGCTTCTCCTGGGACGCTCCTCCCAGGGCACATGGCTGCCCCTGGAGTGCCTCAGGCTGCCGGACACGGGTGGCATGCGAGCCCTCTGGCCGCGAAGGCCTTTGCTGCTGCCTTCCTGGCCTTTGGAGCCTTTCTCTGGCTTCGTCTGTGGGAAGGGCAGGAACTTCCATCTTGGCCTTCGGGGCCACGGTGTTGAGCAGCACTTCTAAGGAGCTTCGTGCTGCGTCCTGCACCTGCGCACAGCCAAGGAAGAGGTGCTACTGATGTCTCGTCTGCCTTTGGTATTTCCGCCGACCCTGGACGACGACCCCCTTGGGGGTCACTGCTCAGCACACGCTGCTAGTCACGGGCTCAGCCAGAGCCACAGCCCATGCAGGTGCAGTACCTCACGGCCCACACTGGCTAAGGCAGGCTGCAGAGTGGCCTCTGGGCCCATAGTTCCCCATGGAGGGGCCTCTGCCTGCGACCGCCTGTGTGCGGCCCGTCCCTCTCTGTCTCGTCTCTCTTTATCTGAGGATGACGCTGGGTACGGGAGTTTCCTCACCAGTTTTACGGGGCAAACACAGAGAATAAAGGTCACCACGGTGAATGGCGTGAAGCTGGTGGTGAGCAGTCTGAGCACCCCACTGCCACAAGCCCTTGTCTACTGCCCTGCGGACCGAGAGGACCCATGCCTTGGCCAACGAGGACGGATGTGGGACACGCCAGCGCCTGTGCTCGCCACTCCCGGCATCCCTGCTCTCTGGAGCAGACGCAGAATGGCTCTATGCTCTCCTCTATGTGCCCTTGGAAAGAGCCGATGAACTTCCTAGTACCGCGCAGCTGAGTCACGGCTATGGGCCAGCCCCACAGCCTGCTGGTCAAGGGGAGCTGGATCCCACATGGCAGATCACAGTTCAAATCCTGGCTCTGGAGGCTTGAAGGGCATGGTGTGCACCTGTGTGTGCGTGTTCAATCCTGCCAGGATGGAGGAACGGAGAAGAAGGGATGGCAGTGTGCACACACCCCACTGGGGAGCTCTCTCCCTCCCTCCCTTCCTGCCTCTCTCTCTGCCTCTCTCTCGCTCTCTCTCTCTGCGTCTCTGACAAGTGCACACACCCTCTGGTAACTAAAAAAAATAAGAGAAGGGCTTCGATACCTGGGACCATACTCAGTCCCGTCTTCCTGTTCTACAAAAATGTACGTAATGGGAGATGCCCTATTGCACGCAGTTCTTACAAAGATCAAAAATAAAATATTTGTGTAAAAACTTAGAAGAGAGAAAGCATTATAAAAACAAATTAACACCGTATTAAATACCATAAAAGCAATTTACCTCTAAAACAACTATGAAACAACCCTCTAGCACTAAATTATATTGTGGCTAAATTATTTATTTCATTTTAGAAATACCAAGAAACTCTTGTCGATGGAGAACCAGTGATTATTCATAGTCCCGGAGTATATGTACCTCTGAGACATACGGGGGCCAAAGTTTCAGAACCCGGAATTCCACTGTCTCAGAAAGTCAGCACATACACTACACAGTCTCAAACACCCACCCGAGTGCGAGGCAACCCTGCAATCAAGAACAGCGGTTTCTGTGGCAAAATGTAAGAGTAGGCACACAGAGCGGAATTCTAAAAGCAAAAATGATCAATACCCTTACATTAGATCGAGTCGCATTTTGCCAGCCAATGGGAGACAATGGCGCAGCTGCTAAGCTTTCTGGGCCCCAGAATCGCACAAGGCGGTGCGGGGCTATGCTAGAGCACTCAGCAGTTGGTGTCCAGTGCTGGGTGAACACTCGTGGGTACGATTTGTCACTAATGTCACCAAATATAACCAAAGAAGTAGCATGTGGTAGTGTTCCTAAATATGTCTTCTGTTGATGTCACAGGTTAACAGTTACGCTTCACCTTTTATGTTAGTCCAAAAGGACAGATTAAGAAAAATGGAAATTAGGGAAGTGCGAATCTTCTTTTTGTGCCATGGTGGCCTTTCAGCACGGCTCTCCCGGCCTCCAAAGCCTTGGCTCGGGCTCCAGCTTTGGGAGGCACAGGAGCTTCCTGCCGCGCTTTCAGAGTGAAGTCTCATCTGGTGAAAAGCTCTTGAAGGACCTCGGGCAGCTTCCCTCCGGCCTCACTCCAGACCAGTGGGAGAAACACTATTCGACCTCTCATTTGCTCTCGAGCTAGAGAAAAAAAGCAGCCCGAGACGGTGACCTGGTTCCAGGCCATTCAGGTCACTGTCAGCACTACCTACACTGCACCTGTCAGGGAATCCCACCTTAGGTTTACTACGGATGAGTCGTTTTTCACAGAACAATTTACTGTGCGCAGAGTTCGTGACACCGTGAGGGAGAGCAAAGTCACAATACACACTGATAGAAACCGAGACAACTTTCTCTCAAAGTACTTCCTTTCTGAAAGACTAAATGTCTGATGGTGCCGCGCTTACTGGGCAGAGTAATGACTGAGGACTCGCCAAACAGCTGGTCAAACGAGAGAGAGGAAGTGAGAAGCAGGTACGGGGAGGGCGTTCGCGCCACCTGCTCACGGCGTGACCCCATCAGACCAACCTCGGCCAAGGGAGAGTGGGGAAGCACAAAGTTCAGACTGACAGGGTAACACCAGACCGCCAACTCTACCCCCCGAGTGAGAACTGTTTACCTTTAATGATTTGGCCCCCTTTTTGTCACCTGCAAACATGGACTTCTCGTCGAAGTGCATGGGGAAGGACCTGATGAAATGACAGGAGAACAGTCACAGGTGAGACTCCGAGGGCTTCACGTGGGAGCTGATGGCATGTCCCGCCCTTACACAGCCTGGATCCAGAAAGCCACGATGTGCTTTTCTATGCGAGCGTGTGTCATGACTTTCCCAACCACCCGGGAGGTCCAGAGAGCCACGATGTGCTTTTCTATGCAAACGTGTGTCATGACTTTCCCAACCACCCGGGAGGTGACAGCCAGCCCCCAGATAAGCCATAACAGAAGACTATAACATAAGACGTAGACGGCTTTAAATGTCCATAAGGCTATAAGACGTTTTAAAATAACCACACAATAATCCTAAAAATTAAAACAATCTTTGTGGAAAATGTGCAAGCCTCTCAGTATTCTTTAAAATTTTTAAACATAACTTCCTGTAACCAGTTCCCAGTCTGAGTTTCCTCCACGCTCATCTTAACAACCAGAGAGTCTGAGTTTTAGAGATCAAGCACTTCTACTAAAAGGCTGCATTCCAGAAGGTCCAGTTAGCGCTCCTGCATGGCTCCACTGAATGCTCACACACTTACTGCTTTGAACAGTAACCAGAGAGCACAAAGTCGTAGAAAGAACATGAGAGTGCCATTAAGCTTTGATGCTACGTGAAATTTAAACTTATTTTAAAATATCACCAATTCTCACATGTGGAAGTGCCCAGAGCTCATACCGTGCAGCCAGCATCGTGAGCGACATTTCTGTCAGTAAATCCCACTGTTCCACTGTCCGTTTTCCTCCTCGGCTCTGACCCCCTCGTCTGACTCTCGGAGTCAGTCTCTGCTGCCCGTCATGTGCTACTTCATCTGAATATAAAGGCAAGGATTCAGATCAGGACAGGTTCTTACTTTGTATCTCGGAAGATATCCAGTAAGAGGCTTTTTGTGTCAGCATCTTCTTCTACATTTCCTGTGTAAAGATCAACAATTGAGCGCTCAAAATACGGGGCCACCTTTGACAAAGCGCGGAGCTCAATCAAGTATAAAAAGTACAGGTTCTTCAGCCTCCTTGGGCCTTCCCCCTTGGTTTCCACAGGGTCGAATCGGCGTCGAAATTCTTTGACATTAGGTCCCCAACTAGGTTTGCCCCAGGTTTCTAAGGAGAAAGAGAAATACATTACATCCTTTAGACAAAGGGATTGTTTTGCTCCAGAGACTCTGCATTTCCCCCAATAACCACACACTAGTAGGCACAATCTCCACTTAAAAGCCTGGTTACCTTCCAGAAGGTAATTTGCACACAGGTGTAGATTGATACTAGCATGCAGTCCCGACATAAGCTTGTAGAAGACTCTCTTCTCCAGACACAAACCTATTCAGGAAGATATTAAAAAAGAAATCAGGAACTTCTAGATAACAGATATAGTGAGTCAAGGAGACCCAGCACACAGGCTTATTTCTAAAGATTCAAAGAAATTAAAAATCGATCAAGAAATACAAAAACAGTTACAGTTCCCCCTCCTCATCTACAAAGGGTAATGTTCTGAGATTCCCGCCCCCATCCCGTACCCACCAGATGCCCGACCACAGAAATGCTGGCTATCGTATGTGATGGTTTTCCCTATATACACTCTGCCTTCATGGCAGAGTGAGCTTATAAATTAGGCACAGTCGAGACCAGCCACCGTCGGAGTCTGCTCCAGCGGCGCTAACGGGTCATTTATGAAGGACAGGGTCCATCTGGCTCACAGTTCTGGGGCATCAGGCCAGCCCCTGGAGCTACACCACCACATGGGCAGCAGAGGCAGGGTGCCAGGCCTCTCCCTCTCATGACAACCCACTCTCGCAGAGGTCGGCCTTCTCAGGAGAGCCAGCACTCACTCTGTCTCATGAGCTGGTATTCATCCACGCCGGGGGGCTACAGCTGTCAGGACCAAACAGCCCAAAACGGTCTCACCACCTCCCGGGGCCACTTCATCGGGGACTAACTTCCCAGACCCAAACATGACCCTCTCGGGTACAAACCACTCCTAGAACCTTAGCAACAATGACTAACAACACAGCTATGGAGTACTCCAAGCACCCTGACTCTTGCACTTGAGTCATTAGTAAGTAAAATATGGATTCCTTGGACATAAGTCTGACATTGTGACAGTCTCTGATATCAGAAACAGCTCCCAAGTGACGCTGGGCAGGACGCTGGTGTGGACATGCTGGACACAGGGAGGGTCAGGTCCTGCCCAGGACAGAGCAGGATGGTGCGAGATCTCGTCACAGTGGTCAAAGTGCCACAGAATGGAAAACCATGTACTCTTTATTTCCAGAATTTTCCATTCAGTATTTTAGGACCCCAGGTGGCCACAAATGGCTGAACCATGGAAAGCAAGACTGAGAAGGAATATTACGGATCAGGACTCTCTCCCTAGAAGACAAAACGAGTCTGCTTCTGAATGGCGTTAGCTGGCTGCGCTGGGGGACACCAGGCGAGACGAAGGCTGGCTCTGGGCAGCCCACGACTGCAGATGAAGCCGGGGCTCCTGTCACCCAGCGCGGGCCTCTACGGGCAGGCAGGCCAGTGCGGTGGCAGAGCTCCTGCTCCACCTTAACAGCACCTGTCGCTCCGCATCCCCTCCCTATGCTCTTTCTTTCGCTACTTCACAACTAGAAAGGAATTATTTAACCCTGTATTCCACATGTAAGTAGCAAAAACTCAGAAAATAAACATCAAGGAATTTCAACTGATCAGAATGTAGTTGACGGTGGTTCGAGTCCTGGACATAGGGACTTAAAACTCATATGAACATGGGAGTCCAGCGACATAGCCATTATGCCAACTGCTGGTCCCAAAAAATACTATAATTACTTTTTAGAACAAAATCAATACATTTAAAACATAGACATTAAGTTTACCTTCAAGCCATGTATAGAACGATTCTCCTAAGAGACAGGGAGAAAGAGACGTTAAAATGTTTTAGATGGTCATTTATAAACCAGATAAATGCAGTCTGTAAAATATTTGTTTGACAGATTAAAGAATTAGCAAACTACCACGTGGGCTCAGCCGTGGCAGCACAGCAGTGCGCTGCTCTGCAATGCTGGAAGCCATGTGCCAAATGGGGGTTCGGTTCCTGGGTCAGCCTATTCATGATGAGTGCACACATGTCTGCACCAGGCCGGCTGGGACAGGCTGTAGGGGCACCGCAGAATGAGACCCTCTTCCATGTGCTTGTTTCTCTCTCTGGGGCCAGCAGGTGGCGTGGTGGCTGAGATATGAGACTCCCGCATGGCCAGCCATGGTTTGAGTGCCAGACCTGATGGCTTGCTTTCTCACTTTTCCTCTCCCACTCCATCTCTTGTCTCTCTCTGGTAAGCACATGTGCCCTATATAAAATTAAAATAATAATAATAAAAAATAAGTAATTCTTTAAAAAATTATCTCAGGAAACATACATACACACCATGCCGTGTAAGTCTTACTCACTGAAGATCTAAACGTCCCAGACACGGAGGCAGGTTAACAACCTTAAATTCGCTTTTGGTAACAACCATAGTACTTTTGTAAAATTCCAGAAAATACTGAATTAGAATAATCAAACTACTCAGTCAGTCCGTGGCCTGACAGTTAAGGAGCTCGATCCCACATGGCCAACTGTGTCATCTGAACCCCAGACCCAAGAGCATGGACAATGCACCGGGCGCAAGAACCTGCGGCCCAAGGCCAAAGGGAAGGACCAGTGGGAGAGAGAGGGCTGCAGCGGCCCGTCCCCACGCTGGGGGTTCTTCCTCGCTTTCTCTTTCTCTCTGTCAAGCACAAATGCCATTGGGAAATAGAAATAATAATAATAAAAAGGTTTACTAAACCATTAATTCTTCCATTTTTCCTAAGCCAGTAAAGCTAAATGTGTCTCCTCGATTATTAATGACTTCTCACTTTCAGGGATGATTTAAAGATCTCTTATTCTAAGTCATTCTTCAGAAAAGTTAACAGAAAACAGAAGGGCTTGCCTTAACCATGTACTAATACCCCAGGCTGGAGAGATATGGGCTAGAGAATACGAAATGCTAGTTAAGAGAAAAGGCTCACGACACCTACTATGTAGAACGGCGACTGCCATTAGTGACAGTGTACTAAGCTGTCGGAGATTGCTGAGGAGTGGACTTTTCCACAAGAGGAGAGGGTGTGAGGGATGCATGTGTGCTAACTGGCTCCACTCAGCCGCTTACAGGGTGCTCGTATTTCAACACACTCAACACAGCAAATACATGTCACCTTCGTTCCGTTCAGTTAAAAAACAAACTATTCCTAGACAATACTGCTCTCGGGGGAGGAAAAAAGCAGTCAGTGAGGACCGGAACTGTCAGCCTGCCTCCTTGGTCACCTGCCCTTGGAAAGAACCACAAAACGCCCAACACACAGATGAGCTGAGTGGCGAGGGGTAACTGGACGCAGGGAACTGACCACAGAAGGCGTTTGCACTCTGCAGAACACCACGGACAGCTGTCCAGAGACTCACTCACTCAACAGACCCAGGGCCATTTGCCCCCCCACACACACACTCATCCAACACCTCCGCAGCCTCGCAGTCCTCCACACTGCCTTCTGGCTCTCCCTGCCGGCCGCACCCAGGTTCCTGCTGCTCGCTCCAACCAGCACACACCAGCCAACGCGGCGGGCCTGAACATGCATTCAAACCGCATCTCCACGCCACCTCCCCTTAAGCTCTCCCAGACCACCTGTTGAGATCACGGTGTCTCACCTCCACCGACTGCCTGCATCACTGTTGTTCTCACACGTGCGCACCTGTCCCGCCCCGTGTACTCCCTGTCTGGGTGCTGCCCACTGCAGTGCTCTTGAGTACAAGTCACTAATAGAAACCGTTATTCTGGCTGCCGGGGGGCCTTGTGACTGATACTCATTCAGTAACCTGAGAGACCACTGCTGACAAATTCCCTACTTTTCGGGTTAAGTGTTATGCTGACACTGAGGTTATTGATACATTTCAAAGTAAATGAGGAAGCAGAGAGGTCACAAGACACATGACCTGTAAAGTGACCTGGATCTCCGCATCTTTACAATACACTCGCCTAGATTATAACAATTAGGAACAGCAACCTTGGCGTGTGAAGCCGGTTGCTTTACTAAACATTTAGGTTAAATGGTCTTTTTACCGTCTTCTTTCTTGTACTGCCAGAGGGTGTGCACTCACCAAGGCGGGAGAGGACAGGCATCCCTGACAGCGTGTGACAGCCACGACCCTCCTCCCTCCCACTTCCCATCCTGGCGGGGTGTGGGGCACACACGCACACCCGTGCAGCGTGCTTGAAGCTGCTGCGGTCAGGTTCTGAACTGCGGTCAGCTGTCACATGGTCTGTCTCCCTGCACACAGGGCTTAGACCGCACTGTGGGGCCAGCCCCGCCTGCACCGTTCTCCTAGCGTAGTTCTTGTTTAATTTGCTGCAGGGTGTATTGGTACTCGCCAGAGAGAGAGACACAGTGAGAAAACACGGTAAGAGAGAGCACCTCCAGGAGTGACCTTCACAGGCCCTTCTCCATTTTCCTCCTAGGGTTTTAGACATGTATGCACACACACCTGGTGTGTTTCTTAAGCTGCAGGGTCTGGGACTCAAACCACATAGTTGGCCACGTGGAATCCAGCCACCTACCATGTCACCTGGCTGGCCCCAACATAGGTTAATTTTATGGTATATAAAAAAAATTCTCAATTTTTTTGGGTCACCTTTCTCTGATAGTTATTTTCTGAAAAAGTAGGATAAACATTTTATTTTAAATTAGAGGAAAAGTACATTTTGATCACTAAAAACTTATCTTCTACACTTGAAGCAAACACAAGAGTTTCAACTCACCATCATCTTCACCTAGAAGAGAAAATAAGAGACTCAGAAAATGTGTTACACAGTTTGGATTCCAACCCTATCCATTTCAATATGGACTTAAACTTAGTGCTTGTTAAACTCTAACTGTGGTCAGTATATAGACATCTTGCAAATGAAACTTAATAAAAACGTAGACTAGGGATGACTCCGAGGCAAAGCAGTGAAGCCCTGCTCCAGAGCAGCTGGGTCCCACAGTGACCACAGTCTGAATCCGCGGCCTGGTCAGCCGGAAACGCAGAGGGCATGTGTGCATGCACCCACGCCCGGTGGGCTGGAGGCAGCAGTCACAGAGTGAGCCTGCAGAGGGCGTCCTTCTCTCTCCCTGCTCCTCTCTCAAGAGCCACATGCAAATGATCTACCACAAATAAAAAAGCATCCATCTTTCAAAGGAACACAGGCCAAAGATGAGATCGCCATGTTTTACACAGTAATATCAGAAGTTTTTGCAATAGGGCATGTGCACTCGCCAGAGAGATAGAAACAGTGAGAGAGTGGGTGAGAAATCACCCAGTGGGGGATGGCCACCCTAGAATCCCTTCTCTGTTCTCCTCCTGGGCTCTTGGGCACACATGCACAAACAACCAGTGTGTTTCAAGCCACCAGGTCTGGGACTTGAACTGTGGTCGGCCATGTGGGAGTCCAGCAACATAGCCACTACTCCATCTGCTGCCCCCATCATGTTCTATGTAGTAGTTCCCCTTCCTCATCTTTCTAAGTTTCATTTCTCTAGTGTACCGTGACATGAAGTGTTTCTCAAGACCTGATGGCGTTCCTAAGTGAACGATTCTATCTAGGTTTTGAAAGACAGTGCCCAGAGAAAAGGTCAGAGTGGGGGTCCAGCTACAGAACAGGAAGTACGGAAAGAGGAGGCGCGCTCCCTTTGTACTCTACGGAACGTCTACGGTGCTTCCACGTCTGTAAACTGTCGTGAGGATGAAACGTTTAGGTCGAAAACAGGAAAGTTACCAGGTAAAAGAAATAAAAGGTAAGAAGCCAGCTGTGCCCTTCATGATCCCACCCTCGTCCCCAGGGAGTGTCGGAATGAAGGTGGAGAAGAAGAAACTTGACACCCCATGATGAGGAAGCATCTGACGGCAGTCCACCCCCCGGTCCTCCCAACCCCACGTGGTTCTCGGGGCTAGCGCGGTGCAGGAGCTGAGGGTCTATGAGGGGCTGGGTCCCCTGTGGCCGACAGAGGCCTGCTTGGGCTGCTGGCTGGAAAAGAAAGCTGGGCGTGTGTATGCACACCCAGGTCCTGGTGGGACAGGGAATTGGGGGAAAAGGACTGAGTAGTGACCATGCCCCAGTGGGGGCGCTTTCTCCTCCCCCACTCCTGTGAGTACACACACCCTCTAGCAATAAAAAAAAAAAGGTAAGGGAACCAGCAGTTAGCGTAATGGCTATGTCACTGGACTCCCACGTAGTCGACCGCGGTTCGGGTCCCGGACCCAGTGGCTTAAAACTCACGCCGGGCGCATGTGCGTGCGTGCCCAAGATCCCGAGAGGAGAATGGAGGAGAAGGGATTGCGGCGTGACCATCCCCCCTGGGGGGTGATTTCTCGCTTTCTGTCTCTCTGTCTCTCTCTGTCTGTTTGGTGAGCGCCCTACAGCAAAAAACCTCTCCAAAAAAAAAAAAAAAAAAGGTTATACCACATACGTAGGTCAGCCATGTATCTTACTTGACAGAAGGGTTAAAGTACAATGACAAGAGTAACTTACATCCTTCAGTCTTTAAATTGACATACTAAAATAGAATTTAAAATTCAGCTCCAGAACCAGCAGTTGGCATAATGGCTATGTCATTGGACTCCCACGTAGTCGACCACAGCTTGATCCCAGACCCGGTGGCTTAAACTCATGCCAGGCACGTGTGCGTGCGTGCCCAAGATCCCGAGAGGAGAAGGGAGGAGAAGGGACTGCGACATGGCCTTCCCCTTTGGGGGTGATTTCTCGCTTTCTGTCTCTCTGTCTCTTTCTGGCAAGCACACACCCTATAGCAAAAATCCTTCAAAAAAAAAAAAAATCGGCTCCACGCTTTTCTATAACAATGACAACAGTATCTTATATCGCTTCAATCTTTAACTTGACATACTAAAATAGAATTAAAATTTCAGCTCCACGCTTTTCTATGCTTGACAGCCACATGGCTGCTGGCTCCTTCCCTGGGCAACCATCCCAGAGGCGGGTGGACAGCGCCCACGGTTCCCAATCTCCTCTCCACCTTCCTCCTCCACGCGCAGCACAGTGGTCAGTGCTGCACGGGGGTCAGCACAGCCCAGGGATCAGGGCCCACATGGGGGGCACCAGGAGCTTCGCGAGCACTGGGCGTCAGCTGAGAGCAGCGAGACCAGAAGCTGTGTGTCAGGAGGCCCTCGGGAGCCGGGGAAGCACTGTTCTGGCCACTGGCTCCTAAACTCACCACGTCCTGGAGCAGCTAGAGAGTGGGGAGTCCTCACCCCAGGATCTAACTTAATTAGAATGGGACCTTGCTCAGGCGTTCAGAGTTTGGGGAGTTCCCCAGAAGACCTCTGACACTCCTGGGGAACTGATTTTACAGGGAGCTCCCTGGCACACAGCAGGCACTCAGTATGACAGTAATGAAGCACGGGAGGACAGCTCGAGATAGAACTGTGAGAAACCCACCTCGGCTGGGTGCCAGGGGATTCAAAGGGCGATAGACAGATCGAGGCCTGAAAAAGAAGCACAAACCCAAACGTGAGGTGTTCAACTTGTATCTCTAATTTTATTTCAAGAAACAAATACCCGCTGCCCCACACCCTGGCCAGCGCCCTGCCCGTTACTTGAAACAGTTCTCTTCGTAGATGCTGTTCCACACCCGCCACGCGGACGTGCCCTTGTAGCCCGTGTAGCGCTCGGGGGTCAGCAGCCGGGCACGTTTCAGCAGCAGGTCCACATACTGAGCAGCTGGAGACCTCTCGTCTGGACGAGAAAACGATGCATGAAACACGTGCCATGCCATGCTCCTGAAACAGCACAGCACAGCACAGCAAGCAGGGCTGCCTGAGGTTAGAGAGACGTGGCATTTCTCAAGTAACCTCAGCTGAAAGGGCACTCGCTCTCGCGCTCTCGTGACAGGGCTCAGCCCAACCCGGGAGTTGCGATCACCTGGACAGACTGCTTCAGAGAGGGAGAGACAGCCCCTTCCCTCCGGCTACTCAGCACTCTGTCCCAGTGGGACAGCCTCACCTTCTCAGAGGCTTCACCTGAAGTGTTACCAACCTGGGACTGAAGCTGCACCAATAGCTTACATGACTTCTTCCTTCCTTACACTCGTCTGAGCACACACTTGAAAACATATTATTAGTACATAGAGGGGACTTCAAAAACTTTGTGGGAAAATAGAAGGGACCAGCAGTTAGCGTAATGGCTATGTCACTGGACTCCCATGTAGTCGACCGCAGTTCGAGTCCCGGACCCAGTGGCCTAAACTCACACCAGGCACGTGTGTGTGCATGCCCAAGATCCTGAGAGGAGAATGGAGGAGAAGGGACTGCGGCATGGCCATCCCCGCTGGGGGCGATTTCTCGCTTTCTGTCTCTCTGTCTCTGTCTGTCTGGCGAGCGCACACACCCTTCTCTGTCCGTCGCGGGCCCACCCCCTAAAGAAAAAAAAAAAAAAAAAGAAAAGAAAAAAAAAACCCTCCCAAAAAAAAGAGAAAAAAAAACTTTGTGGGAAAATGGAATTAAAGTGTGAGTTTATTCTGGTGCAAAAAAATGAAATCCATACACCATTTTTTCATAATACACAATTCCCATGAACTGACTTAAAGGCTATTTGTGCTGCACTGCACTGTAATAAAAGCAGGGTTTCCCTGCTCCCCAGTCAGACTTACGAAGAAATGACTCTCAGAATCTCATTACTCAGTTATGCAGCACTGCAGTTTTTCTTAAAATAGATTATCACTGATTTATCCTTACCAACTGTTAACATGTAAGCATATGTATATATACGTGTATGTGCATATACACACACATACACACAGGGTTTTTTTATTTATTCATTCATTCATTTATTTCAATTTGACCAGAAAGAGAGAGAGAGAGCGAGCGTGCAAGCTGCCAGGTCCAGGACTTGAACCATAGTCAGCCACGTGGGAGTCCAGCACCCTAACCCCACAAGCCACTTGCCAGCCCCCACACAGGTTTTTAATATAGGTCACATGCACTTGCCGGAGAGACGGCGAGACAGAAGGTGAGAAATCACCCCCCAGGGGATGGCCACACCACAATCCCTTCTCCTCCAGTCTCCTCTCGGGATCGTGGGCACACATACGTGTCAGGCCTGAGTTTTAAACCGCCAGGTCTGGGACTTGAACTGCAGTTGACTACATGGGAGTCTGGCGACATAACCATTACGCCATCTGCTGGTCCCCCGAGTTGTTAAGGTATTAAAGTGCTTTTTCCCTCTCCAACTAATATTGAGTAAGCACAACTTTGAAAGCATTGTTCAAACACACGAAATTGAATAACCATCTCCACACTGGAGCCCAGATGAGGAAATCCGGGCGACATTCTAGTAGAGATTGCAGAGTCACACAGAAGATAAAGACCGGCCTCAACCCTGAGGCTCAAGTTCTGGTAGGAGAGGGAGTCTCACACTTCCACACCCAGAGAAAGGCTGTGGCAGCCACGCCTCACGAGTGTGACCATCACACACAAAAGGGCTCAAGTGCTGCACACGGGCCCAGACGCACGTGCCGGTGCCTGCACACTTACCACCTCTGGGTGGTGAGAGTGCACCAAGCGCACGTGGGCACCCCGCTTACGCACGCAGGCACCGTTTCCGTTCACCGCCCAACAATGCACTCTCCTGTCCGTGAGCAGGACTCATCGGGCATTCAGTGACCAGGTCGGGGCTCTCCCTAATCTCATGGGAAATGGCACCTGCACGCCTTTCCAGAGTTACCGGGCACTTCCGTGACGTAGAAAGATCATGAACTGGCCATGTTACTGAAGGGCAGCGTGGCACTCACAGATATGGGAACATGGCTTTGCAGCTGTGATGACACTGGCTCTATTCTAGCCATGGAATTATAATGAGGACTCGCTATACAAATTAGGGAACAAAAAAATTAATTAATAGCCAGGTAAAAACTGCCCAACTACAGATCAGATTCAGGAGTCAAAAAAAGTATGTCACGGGGCTGGCCAGTGGTGCAGTGGTTAAGGGTGCTGGAGTCCCCGGTGGCTGACCGTGATTCAAGTCCTGGGCCTGGCAGCTTCCTTTCTCACTTCTACCCCACCCCCGTCCTTCTATGGTCAAATTAAAATAAATAGATAAAGTTAAATAAAAAAATAATTCTTTTTAAAAATAGTATTTCATAATGAAAATTCAAGTTATTAAATTATTGAAAATATGTTTTTTTAAGTATGATTTTCAGTAAAAAGGCAACAGTCTTAAAATTCATTAATTTCTAAATGATACACTCTTAACTTCTGAGCTGTTTTTTTTTTTTAAAGAATTATTGATTTATTTATTTCCATTTGTTCTTGTTTTTTTTTCTTTATTTGATGAGAGAGAGACAGAGAGAGAGAGAGAAAGGGAAAGTGAGAAAGCAAGCCACCAGGTCCAGGACTTGAACCATGGTTGGCCATGTGGGAATCCAGCGCCCTTATCCACCACACCATCTGCTGGCCCCAACTTCTGAGCTGTTCTTGAATAAACTGATGTGCAAACTGATTCCCTTTCCAAGCCCTTGGAAGCAGCGTGAGCACCCGAGGTGCCAAAACACTTCGGAGCGCTGTCCCTCCGCGATTATGCACACCTGAGCCTCATGTCCTTCTCCACCCCAGGAACACCATGTACAAGGCAGAGGTAGGCAGAGGTGAGCAGAGGCCAGGGCATGGCACAAGCCCAGTGAGCACAAGTCCTCGGGAATATTCTCCTGTAGATGACAAATTCTGAGTCGCTGCAATTCTCTTCTATTAAGAGAAATGATGGCTCCTCTGTCCTGTTTTTGTGCCATTCTAGGGGACTCTCGGGAAAACAGCTGTAGGGGAGTCAAATTAAGAGTCTAATATCGAT